CGCGCTGGAGCGAGCTACAGCGACGCGCGGCCATCCGCGATGGTGGCGCAGCTGCCCCGGCGAACCAGAGCACCTAAGAACCTATCTGGCTAGCGAGGGAGCATTAGTAGACTACCGTGGACCTAGCCGAGGTGACGGTTGGGGTGGAGGATGGCAGAGGAGGTGTGGCCACGTGCGGCCGAGCTGTGCGGCGGCGCACCGTGGTGGCGCGGTCACGCATCAACAGCTGACGGGAAGGTGGTAGCGGTTCTAGTGACATGCACAAGGTGGAGAGGGAGGCAAGACGAAGCTAGTGGTGCTGGTGAATTGGCTCGGGAAGGACGGTAGGAGGCTGCCCTCGTCCATGGTGGATGACGCGCCTTATCGGCACGACGTTAGGAAAAGCGCCAAATTGGAGCTTGGCAGTGCCTTCTTCATGGCTGGGTGGGGTCGGGCAGCGAGAGAACTTGATGGTGAAGCCGCAGACGTGCTGAATTAAATGGAAGTGATCACTCGGTGACCAATTGGATGACACAGCTCAATGGTGGCAACAGAGGGAAAGAGACGAGGCGGCAAGTGGGCTCGTCTCGATCTCTCCTTGGCGGGACGTGGCCGGAGTGATCTAGGTGTGACGCGCGCGTAGACGCAAAGGACAAGCATGTGCATCCACGACCGACGTGGCCCACGCGGCCGCAGTGCCATAAATGGCAAGGCGACAATGAGCTCAACCGCATGCGCGCGGCAGTGGCGACATCGAACTAGGCTGGCAGCGGCGCAGAGGTGCAGAGGGAAGCGCGGACATGATGGCGAGGCGACGACACACCGCAAAGAACAAGTCATGGCGTGGGCGGATCGGCAGTATGCAGCGAGGCTGCAGTCGCTCGCTCGTCGTCTGAGCAGAAAGCAGCTGACTCCACGCAGCGGTCGAGCCGGCATGCGGCGGCCGAGTAGTCACACAAACCGCAAGCGTGGTGACGTCGCGCCCCCGAGAGATGGTGACAGCGCTCATCCGGTGAACTAGCCCGAAATCACATCTTGCACGAATTTTAAAGCGCCTATAAAAATTAAACGGTTACTCTGGAACCTAAACCATCTTCACCATTCTCCAAAGGGGATATGAGGCTACCAACCCGAGCTAAAACACGACACCACCTCCTAACTCGATTTCAAAAAAAAAATTGCCAAACATTGCATTGTCTAGCTGTCAACATACTTAAAAATATTCTAAATTTTTGAGCTGAACTTGATTCCAAATTGCATTTCTAGGCTATTAGAAATATTGGCTAGCACTGTTATTTTTTCACGGCAAGTATTTTATTGTCATCTACAAAGTTCATATTCCAAACTTTATTTAGCGCCACATATATGTTCTATAGCATTTTTGTTCAATAAAAATTAGTTTTAAACCCTACTTGATACATATAAGTTATGGAATAGCTTATCATTTAACAGTTTTATTGATCATCCAAAGTTACAAAAATGTTATCTACACATTTCATCACATACATTATCACATAACATGATACTCATGACATAATTTAGTAGTTTGTTTAAGGCGTAACACCGAGGTGTTACAGCAGAGTTTCAGGTACAACATGAGGTCATGGATAGTTTTATTCTTTGGTTTCGTGGATATTTAATTTCATGACTCTCTAGAGTTGAAAACTGAGCTAAGAGAGTTTCATCTATGAAACTCACTTCTTCTCTCTCTTCTTAAAAAAATTGTCATATCATCAAAAATATTTATGTGGCAACCTATTAAATGCAAATAAAAGTATGATGAAACTCCCACTAAGATCATTTGATATTATATTTCATTACAAATATAATATTATCAAGTTTGTATTAGAATAATTAAAAAATGTTGGTCAAATTATTAGTGAAAGTTTATATAGTTTGATTGTTGACATACACAAAATGTGTTATAAACTAGATCAGAGTGAGTACCTCATAACTTCAGTGATATTTTCCTTTTTGTTTTTGGATCCTTTACCAAAATGATTTGCATGCTTACAACTAACATTGATTTGTTATAGGTATTTGTAGGTGTTTAGAAGTTAATTTTCTTATGCACAACTCCCTAGCTGTATTTATGTTAACAAATAATGTCTCAATTTAGTACAAGTGTAGTATAATAATAAGAACAGTTTCTTAACATGGGTGTTGTGACTTCAATTTCTGGTTTACGAAACCGGCTGAAACCGCTGTAACCCATGGTTGAACAAGCCTATTGACCAGGTGAGTTGGCCAACCCATACCGTGACTTGAATGCCTTGGTTGACCAGAACGGCGTCGCAGTTGCACGCCAAGACGCGGCAATAACTAAATTGAGTACGGCGTGATGCTTCGAGGGCGGCTATGCAACTTGTAGAGAAGATTTACGTTTGGTAAGTACACTTTACAACCCCGAACTTGGCGTAGAATTACACAATGAACGGCGTCACACTTTCAGCACGCCCAAGACGCGGCAATAACTAAATTGAGAGTATCTTAACGTGATGCCGCAGTTCGATCTCATTGAGGTCTACAATTTGGCATGCTGCGGCTAAATTTTATATTTTTTTTCGAGCATTGATGAGACACAATAAAAGATAATTTTTTTATATGTAAATTGTATACCTTGAGAGAAATTTTTTTCATTTGAGTTTTATTAAATATATATTTTGTCGCGTGTGTGAGACTCAAATTTAAAAAATCGAAAACTATACGATTCATGAAGATAAGGTCTATTTAGATCTATTAGTATTAAAATTTTGAGCGTTAGATGCTCAAAAAATAATTTAGAATTTCGGCGGTGCTAATTTTTGAAACCGCTAGCTAACTTTGTCCGGTTTTGATAGTTGGAGGGTGTTTCTTGACCGGTTTCATAGTTGAAGGTTGAAAATCATACTTTGGCGCAAGTTCAGGGTTGTAAAGTGTACTTTACCCTTTTTATTAAATATATACATGTGTGCCGTATCGCTAGATTCATGCTTAAGGTCTATTTAGATCTATTAGTATTAAAAATTAGCTAGCTAATAACTAACGGTGCTAATTTTTAGCTAGCTAACTTTTAGCAGGAGGATGGTGGGATCCACCTGCTAATATATGGTGGGATAGTGAGTTGAAGGTAGATATAAACTATTAGCACCTATTAGCAACTCTAAATCTGCTAATAGAACTAATGGTTAGCAACCCTCCAACTAATAATTAACGTCTCTGTTGATCCACTAGTAATAACTTTAGCTGCTATTTTTTTATAATAATAGATCCAAACGGGCCTTTAATCTACCCATAATACTTAGCACTGTAGCAAAGCGCCAACTTTTGAGAATTTTAGTGACTATATGTGACGTTAGGTGGTGAAGAGATTTAGGCTCCATTTGGTAGCTCCCACCGACTCCCAGTTTCTTTGACCGCATGCACTTTTCATGTACTGTGCATATGACCTTTTTTTCTCTTTGCTCTCTCTTTCTCCCATAGAGCCGATGAAGAAGAAAAAAAACTAGCTCCATCGGCTTTTGAGAGAGAGAGGAGAAAGAAAAAGAGCTCCTATGAACATTATATGAACAGTGTATATGTCAGAAAAGCTGGAGTCGGTGGAAGTACTGGCAAACGAAGCCTTATGTCCTATTTGGGTTAGCTTCTCCATCGGCTTTAGAGTTTTTTTTTAAACGGAGTAAAATGAAACGGATAGCTTTGGGGTGAGATAAAGCGGAAAAAAGTGCTTTCCTCGGCTGGTTTTCGAGGTCCGTGAGCCACTGTCCTTGGGCCTTCACATAAAACGATCGCGAGATTTTTTTTCTTCTTCCGTTTTTTTTCCTTCCCTCCGTCCGCGTGAAGAAACGTTGCCGCCATGCATGGATCTGTTTTCCTTTCCTCCGCCCGTTTTCCTTGCCTCCGTGCTATGCAAAAAAATAATGTTTTAAATATTGGTTGCTAATACTTTATGTTATTTTTAATTTTTATTTAAGTTCAAATTTACTCGATAAACAAACATATAGAAACCTACTGCACATGTGCGTACACATGGGTATCTTGAATACTTGACCTCTCTCAGCCATGCACAATGGACAGGTGAAGCCGCAAACAATTTACTAAAACGGCTTGAGCTCCACCGAAGAAGCTGTTTGTGGAGCCAAATTCTAAAAAAATAACTTCACTAGTGAAGTAAAACCCTACCAAACAGAACCTTAATGTTAAACTTTCTTTTTATCATTAAACATACCCACATACTCCTCTTTGTAAAAAAAAGAGTCATTCTCGCTTTTAAAAAGTCAATAACTTTTAACTTTGACCAAATATATTTAACAAAATATTTATATTTATGGTACATAATTAGTACCATTAGGTAGATCGTTGAATATATTTTTATAACAAACTTATTTGGAGATATAAATATGGCACATATTTTTTACAAATCTAATTAAAGTTGAGAAAATTTAACCAGTACAATTTCTATAGCGACTCTTTTTAAAGACGTAGAGGATAGAGCAAAGGTATGCCCATTGAGGTTTTGAGCTCGGTGCTGTTGTCAAAGCTGTAAGGCCTTGGGCCGAAAATATGTGCCAGAGAGGCGGCGGATGAGTACATACACAGTAGTACTATAAAATTTGGAGAGAGAAAAAAAACTTTGCCGCTCAACGTCACAAAACGTGTCCACCGTCCCATACGGAGAACAGGAAAAGAGATGCAGTTCAGTTTCTTTATATAGAAAGGAAGGTGAAACTGCAAAAATCCTCCGATTTGATTGAGTTTGACCATCTCACTATCTCAGTGATCAACAGCAGGCGCAACTGAAACCCGGGAAAAAGGTAAGAGTAAAAATAACCCCACCCCTCGACTCTGTCTTCTAACGCCGGATCCTAATCCGCCATTAACGCCCTCCGCTCGATAGCTCGATTCCTATCGCAGAGCCGCGAGTTCCCCGTTCTGTTATAAACCCGCGCCGCGCCCTCCCGTCCTCTCTCCCCGCCCCCAGTCCCCCTCTTCGGCGCGGGATCCGAGGGGCGCGCGCGCTTGCGTCAGGTCCGCGAGAGGCGATGCTCACGTGCATCGCGTGCTCCAAGCACCTCCCGGGCGGCGCGCCGCCGCTGCGCGAGCCGCCGGAGGATGACAACGACGACAACGACGACCACGCCATCGCTGGAGGTGGGGGTGAATCGGCGACGACGCCCGGCACGAGGCAGGCCGTCAAGTCGCTCACCGCCCAGGTTGGTCGCCGTGCTTGAGTTCTTGAAATGTCCCCCTTGGGGTGGCGAGAATTGAAATCCAGGGGTTGTTCTCGGTGCCTTTGTGATTTTCTGATCATGAAATGGACCAGGGTTCCAATCGTTGTTGGTTTAGACTGAGTGATAAAATTTGGTTTTTTGTGTGTGCGTATCTGATCAAATGTACCTTGCCTTGGCCTGGGAGAAGCGCAAACTGGTACCAATTCGGCCTGCTTTGATGGTTTTGAGGCGTTGGAATGGTTGAATTTCTCCAAAATCTCAATGTTTTTTGAAATGCTTGGTACAAAATTTGTTTTGACGGTGTGAAGTGCGAGCTGGGCACTACGATTGATGGATGATGGGAGATTTTCGTGGGTTTCAGATCAAGGACATGGCGCTCAAGGCGTCGGGCGCGTACCGGCACTGCAAGCCGTGCGCCGGCTCGTCCTCCCCGGCGGCGTCGCGGCGGCAGCAGCCGTACTACCACGGCGCGTTCGCGGAGTCCGGGTCCGACCGCTTCCACTACGCGTACCAGCGCGCCGGCAGCTCCGCAGCATCGACGCCGAGGCTGCGCACGGGGGGCGCGATGTCCAGCGGTGACGTCACGCCGTCGGTCAGCGCGCGCACCGACTTCCTCGCCGGCGATGAGGACGGGGACGATGAAGAGGAAACGGCGGCTGGCAGCAGCGAGGAGGATGAGGCGAAGGAGTGGGTCGCCCAGGTGGAGCCCGGGGTGCTCATCACCTTCCTCTCGCTGCCGCGCGGCGGCAATGGTCTGAAGCGCATCCGATTCAGGTGAGGTCTTGCTCTCATTTGTGCCAAACATTTGCTCATTGGTAGAACAACTTGGTTGATACTTGCAACAGATACTAGTGCTTAAAATTCAATAAATTTGGTTCAGATTGTTAGTTTACTTTCGTTGGATGCTGTGGGCATGACCTTCTCCATTGCCTAAGTAACCGGAAAACATAGGTTTGCATCTCTTCGATGCAGAATTTTGTGCATACTGGTTTGTTTATTTAAGGAAACTTGTACAATTCATTTGGTTTGTTCCTTCTGTTCCTGAATAATTGTTCTTGAGCTCTAGGATTATTTCATGTTTCTATGTGGGAACAGAGGAAGCAAAATGAGTAAGAAAGTTATTGGTCCGGAAAAAAATTGAAGCGTCTAATCCTGGGAAAATTTAAACTTTGATCTTGTTAGCTAAATTTGGAGTTCCAATGAACCTTCGATTGAGTATTGGTTTGATCTTTTTAGGTAAACGAGACAAGTATATGCTTTATCTTGCTTTTCGCCTTTGTTGTTTTGTTCCTTTTGATCTTTTCCACCTTTGCTTTCATGAGAAGTTCGGAATTTGAAAGAGGAAAAGAAAAGGAGATTGTAAACTGAGAATAAAATGGAGAAGGAAGGGATAAAGACATATCTACCATTCAAAGAGTCAAATAGAAACTCTGATTCATCACTGTTCTGAATAATGCATAAAAGACATCGCTTTGGGTACTCATATGATTACATGAGTTAGAATTAGAAGGAATTTTTTGAACAATGCACAATAGATTTCTAAATTTGGGGGGACTGTGTGAGAATCTCAACACCTACAACTTCTGTGCATGAGCTGCAGTCCTTCTGCAATTCCAATATCTCTCTTTTCCAGACATAAGTTATTTGTGTATTTTTAATTCCAAATAAAAAATATTCCACTTGTCTCCGCCACCAAGAAAAGGGACATGTAAGATGTTTTGCCATCAGATTAGTGTTTAATCAGCGCAGACAGTTATAAACGTGTCTGTACAATATGGCTTGAACAGATGAGTTAAAAAGCACACGGAAATTTGTTATGTGATCTCATATTTCTCAAAGCATCGTGTGTTGATTTCTGAAAAAATTTCCATTCTTCAAAAGGTACACTGTGCATTTAAACTACATGGGTCTAAGGGCATGATTCCTACAAAGAGCATCTAGTTAGTCACTCACACGCTGCAACAGGACAATATCTGGATCTGTCTGCCAGAAAGCTAATAGATTTGTACTTCTAAATTATTCATCAGAGCAGAATAGCTCTGAAGTCAAGCTTGCACATTCGTGCTTCTATGAGTCCATGCCATACATTTGTGTTAACCTAACAATCTCATCATAGATCAGGAAGAAAAAAGCGAGTCTGAAATGTAGAAGACCACCATCTAGTAGTCTTAATGGAACAAAATTAAAGGACAAAAACTGCAAGTGGTTGTGTTCGTTCATTGTCCTTCTGTAATAAAGAAAGGGTAGCCTTGCTTTGGTATCTCATTATTTTAATGGGGTCCCTCCACCCCCTGCTTACGCGGGGAGCCAACCAACCTATATAATTGGATTGGTGGCACTTCTTTGGCTATTTTATTTGAAGTAGTGCTGGCTTTCATGTAGATCTTGTAAATGACTCCTAGAAACTTGATACATACACAAAAAGATACTTGTGAATTTTATTACGATATTCTGAACTTTTGAAATGGTTAAGTAATTTTTTTTTCCAGATTGGAATGTATTTCCATAATCCGTATTAAGAATGGTATGAGAGAAGTTCCTCGTGGCACGCTTTTTGATTACCTGTCACCAGTAATGTTACATGGGACGAGGGCGTAATAAAATATTGTTATTCTATTTGGGAAGATGAACTGAATTTAGAACGCTAATATGGTTCACTTGTAGCTTATTTTCGTGGTCCAAAAACAAATCACGAGATTTTCTGAGTGTTGGTGCTTTGTCTATAAACATGAATTGTAAGAACAATCATTCTTGTCACATGTGTTGATTAGCTCAGCAGAACTCAGCCAATCATATTCTAAATGAAATGCCCACCAATCATCCATTGATAGTTTGTGCAAAGCTAAACACTGGTAAAGATAACAATTTTAAGCTGTTTGCCAACAGGAGATTCTAATCCGTAGCTGGGAGAACAAGTTGGCTAGTAATTTAGTTCTTTTCGTAGTTCATATAATTTGTAGGAATGGATGGGTATATCTGTATATGAGCATTCTAGCATGGTTCGATATAAACAAAAATGCTCACTTGCTCAGTATGGTTTAATATAAACAAAAATATGTTGCTGCACTAAGTAAGAATTAGCTTGCATAAGTTTAATTATATTGGGACAATAAGGAGACCGACAAGTTTACCTTCTGTTGGTCCAGTATGGTCCTTCTCTTCTTTGCTATTTACTTCACTATATGCTTGCTTCTTGTTTCAGGTGACAAAAGTATACTAAGTGTTTTCTGTATGATAATGACAACTTACCAGTTTCTGATGTGTTCTTCATGCATGTACTAACACATAATAGCCGTGAAATGTTCAACAAATGGCAAGCACAAAGATGGTGGACTGAAAATTACGAGAAGGTCATGGAGCTTTACAACGTTCAGAAGTTTAACAGTCAAGCTGCTCCTCTGCCAAGCATTCCAAGGTCTGAAAATGAGGTAAGAGCCCCTTTGAATCACCTTTCAAGATGTTCTGATTATTTGCAGCATGCCTTCTTATGTTGTCCCCTGCTGTGTCATGGCTTGCACTTCATGCAGAGCTCCAAAGACGATAACCCAGCTACAGCTCCGCTTAACAAGGGGCAACTACTGCATACTTTGCACAGACCACTAAAAGGTAGTGGAGCCATAGGATATTCATCTTCAGATTGTCTTCAGCACCAACCCAATCATCTTGGCAACGTTTACCACCAAGACCGCTACCTTGGGCACCAATGCTGTGATTCAGTTGGACTGGCATCAACGCCTAAGTTATCAAGCATTAGTGGAGCAAAGACAGAGACTTCTATTGATGCATCAGTGAGGACAAGTTCATCTCCTGAAGAGGTCGATCGATCAGGTGAACTTTCAGCCTATGTTAGCAACGCAAGTGACCAAGAGAGGGAATGGGTAGAAGAGGACGAGCCTGGCGTGTATATTACTATTCGAGCTTTGCCTGGTGGCATCGGAGAACTACGTCGCGTCAGATTCAGGTTTGCTGTTTTCTGCTTATGATCATGGTTTTTGGATAGGCTGATCTGAATAGAACTATTATCTCTGCAATTATTATGTACTCATTGAGAGCCTGGGCAAAGATATTGCTACTCCAATTTGCAAACTAAACTGGTATCAACAATATATAGTATGAATGAGATTTTAGTTTACCTTATTCATCAGATTTTAGTTTACTTTTAAGAACAGATTGGTTGACTATAAAATCAAGAACCTCTGTCCTTTTTTGATATGGTTAGAGAACTTACTCTTTTCTGGCTGTTCCTTGTGCAGCCGGGAGAGATTCAGTGAGATGCATGCCAGGTTGTGGTGGCAAGAAAACCGAGCGAGGATACATGAGCAATATCTCTGAGAGAAGACGTGTCAATTACATTTTACATTCGCTACTTCTACCATCATAGAAACATCTCTGTACATCGGGCACTAACATCGTGTCATCAGGTTTGCTCCTTGCAGGCGCAACAATGACCCTTGGCTGCTAGGACTGTTTGCATTGCATGTGTGACAGGACTGACAATGGGCTTCGAGGCTTTTTCTTTTCTTTTTCTTTTTTTGTGTTTAACATTTGCTCTGTTTGTGTGATATTCACATATTTTCCTTTTCCTGTGTTGTCGTTAGTCAGTCTGGGTTGACGGTTTATGTGAGAAAAAAGAGAGAAATTGTACCTTTTTATCAGCCATAAGTTGCTGTTTTGGAAAACAAAACTGGATTGATGGCTCCATGATAATCACTGAAGACGCATGAATTTTTTTAAAACTGATGTCTAGTCCAAGCATGGGCACTAGTGATTCTCCGCATGTAAAGTCATTTTCGTGCATCAAGAACAGAAGCTTCAAGACATATTATTTATTTGCTTCTCATTCGCTTCCTGAGGAGTGACTTTTTTTAAAAAAAATAACTAGGTATATAGAAAATAATATTAATATTTATATATCCAAATAAGTTTATTATGAATGTATATTTAGCGATCAATCTAAAGATAGTTATAATAAATATAGTATGTTTTTTATATATTTGGTCAAATATTAAAATGTTTGACTCCTTAAAAAGCAAGATATGCGATTATTTTGTGATGGAGAGTATATATAAGTTAGCATAAATCATAAATGTATGCGATGTCTTCTGTTTTGTTGTTCTGCACAAATAAACTACAGGCTCTGTTCGGCTGCTCGTAAAGCCATTTGTGCTGATTTGTACGGCTGATTTATTGGGAAAGAAAAATACTATACCATGTCTTATAAGTTGCACGTGGTTACCAATATGTACTAGAAGTCTCGTGTTCTATTCCAGGTGGGGGAGGTGAAGATCCTGCATTTTTTTTTGTGTTGCCCCATTGGTTTGTGCAAATATGTATTTATTGACTAATATGATTAAGGCCCCGTTTGGAACCGACTTCCGCTCGGCTTATAAAAAAACGCGGTAGCAAGACCTGTAGCTCCCTATAGTTGGTAAGATTATGTTTGGTTCCTTATATTGTGTTGCACGTGGTTACCAATATGTACTAGAAGTCTCGTGTTCTATTCCAGGTGGGGGAGGTGAAGATCCTGCATTTTCTATGTTGCCCCATTGGTTTGTGCAAATATGTATTTATTGACTAATATGATTAAATTTGGCGTACTTGCAGCTAGTGTTGTATTGGGCTTTAAGTAACATGCAAGCCTCTATAAGAGTCTCTTCGGGAACCAAACATGGATAAATTACACTACACAAGTCTGAATATAAGCTAATGCATCTAATCAATCAGACCCTTAAATCATGTGCATATCTAGGTTAGTAAATAAAAGGGTTAGTAGTAACTAAAATTATGTGTGCAAATAGTTCAAGAAGAGAGAAACTGAAAAGATATATAATCATTCGCTGATAATATTTGAGTTATCAGATTGCGAATGTTCTGAACACATTAAAAAACAGAAAGAATGCAATGTTTTAATAAAAGAGTATTTTTGAAGGCAGCATCTACAAACTATTGATGGCTTTATGAAAAGAAAAAAAAGCCGAAGCCAATCATCTTCAAATTGTGTGCTACCTGCCTACCTCGATACTCTTAAGCCTTCTCACTACCGGCTGCTATACCAGAACTGGAAAAACCGATGAAGCGAAAAAGGGCGAAACCAGTGCCCGTCCCAATCAGGGGGCGTAGGTAGAATTTACTTTGGGCAGATTAATCATCCTTTAGACCAGCGGGTTTCCATCTCTTTGTCAGTGTCATGCACCAGGAAACAAAGACTGTAACCATATGATTGCATTTACTGTTTCTGAGTCATGAAAAATTTCCAGTGTGGCACCTTTCCGTTCAGCAAGTAGTATAATAATGTTCTCAAGACAATTCAGAAACCAGAGGCCATATGTAAAGATAAGCATTAAGCAATTTTGCATTGCCAGAATTCATCATCAACAAGATCGTAAATGAGGGACAGCCAAAGAACATATCAGAATTCTAATCAAGACAAGATATAAACAACTGACATGAACAAGACCAAATTAAGGCGATAACATAGCAACAGCTATTAGCCTATTACTCCCGTTTTCTAAGTACATACAAACTCTCCTCCAATCACAGCATATGCTAATTCAAACCTGATCAGACAAGCATAACTTACCGACTAAATCAGTGAGGACTGACGACCAAACAAAGAACCACGCCCTAAGCTACAATTTACCACCAAGTCTATTTGGGCACAAAATTACATTTTACACAAAGGTTCCCTCGCCGAAAATCCTTTTTTTCCCCTCTAGGCCCGCTTATGGCCGTGATATCTCCATCGGCCTCGCTTCGCCGAACACACGCCCGGAGCCGCCTTTCGCTGCCTCGATGTCGTTTTCTTCGCCGTCACCATCATCGTCTTCTTCTCCATGGTCGTTTCCCCTAACCAGCAGCACGTACCGCGGCTCCTCCTTGTAGAGGCTGCACATCCGGAGGTAGAGCGCGACGACGAGCACGACGGTGGCGGACAGGTACCAGCTGAACTGCAGGTTGACGAGCGCTTTGGCGCGGGCGAGCGCGCCGCCTTCGTCGCGGCACCGCGCGACGTCGTGCCCGTCCTCGTGGCTCAGGACGCATCCCTTGGGCAGGAGCGCGGTCGTCCACAGCATGACACCCATGGACACGAACCAGACGCCCTGTAGCACCAGGCTCGCCGACCGCACCAGGCTCACCGCGAAGCTCGGGGCGCGGCGACGCCGAGGACCGTCGTGGCGAGCGTGACGGCGACGAGGCCCTGCAGGAGGAGGTGGTATTGGCCCTCCACGCCCACGTGGTCCGCCGAGTGGAGGTGGAACAGCATCAGCTCCTGCGCGAACGCCGCCGCGGCGGCGAGCTGGGACACCGCGTCCCGGGCACGGCGCCCGGGGCCGGGCGCGGTCGAGGAGGATGGCGGACGCGGCGTAGACGAGCAGCGCGAGCGAGATGGACGCGTGCTCGAAGTTGTGGAGGTGGTCAGATCAGGCCCGGTCCTGTGAATCTAGTGACCTGGAGCGGAGCTAGAAAAATGGGCCCGTCTTTAATATAACTTTAATAATATAACGATGTTTCAAATAAGTATAATATATGATTTTTTTTCTTCTTGTGATTGTACGAAGTCTTCTATCCCTTTCTTCTTTTTTGTTTTCTTACTTCCACATGCATGTTTTTTGGGCAACATGACTTTACTATAAATTTAGAAATTAAAGTAATTTAAGAAAATTATACAATACTCAATTTAGTTTGAATTTCAGAAAATTCAATGTGGTACTAAACATGCGTCTTTGCCGTCAAGGGATTCCTAAATCCCAAATCTAAAGAATGTATACTTGACATACATACACAAGCACAATCAAGGGGCTTAGGGGCAATTTCTTACTGCGTTGCATCCGTCGTGTGCAGCATCGGAACTAAGAGTGGGCGGCGGCCGTCATTGGTTCTAGTTGTTGCCGCGAGCACGCGATGCCGACGCACCACCACCGCAAGACGCGTGATCTCCAGAGTCGCAGGTCGCAGCGAGGAAGAAGATAGATCAGCGGCACGACGACGGAAGTGCGAGCGTGGAGTCGCCGATCGCGGAAGCCAATTAGGCTGAATCGGCGTGAGGCAAGACAAATTGGCAGCCACGTACATGCCTTTCTAGCTTGCTGGGCTCTAGCTTTGGGGCCATAGAACGAATATACTATACCTACTTACGTATCTGGGGTCAGGCCCCTTAGCGTCGAGGGCTCTGTTCGGCCGCACAGCTCGAACCCCCCCAAGGTCGGGCCTGGGTCAGATGGCACGGTGCCGTCGTCGTCGAACGGCTGGTGCCTCGCGGGGCCGACGACGAGCTCCATGAGGATGGACGCGACGGCACCGGAGATGACGAGGATGAGCTCCAGGTGGCGCGCGCCGCGCACGGGGAACCATACGGGCGCGACGTAGGAGCCGGGACGCAGCAGGAAGAGCCTGATGTGGCTGTAGAGGTGCCATAGGCCGACGACGATAAAGCCCACGCCCGGTGCGACGTGGCCGACGAGCGTGCCCATTGTTAAATTCTTTAGATCGTCTGGTGTAGATTCAGTGGATGTTTACTTGTATTTGGAATAATCAGTGACTTAGAGATTTAGAGGGAGTAGGAGAGAGAGAGGGAGATGTAGAAGCATCTGACCGTCAGAGGAGCTCCCTGTCTTCGCTGGTTCGTCGGTGAAGATCTGCGCACGGGCAGCGACGGTAGGTGTAGCGGTGGAGACCGACGGTGGTGGAGTCAGTGGCGCTTCCCGCCGCTGGCAGTGCCTCCCTCTCGATCGGACTAGGGTTAGGATGGTGGGGTGACTGGTGGCAGCGAACCTCGTATCCTGAGCCGTTTACCCCACCTCCTCTTTATAGGCACTGTGCGACGGGGCCCCACCAGCCATTAGATGGCTGGACGTCCCCGATTAGGACGCGATCAATGGATCCGTCTTGACCGTTGGGTCAAGACGGATAAGATCAATTCTAACATTCTCCCCCTTGATCTCAACTCATACTTTAACTTTAAACTTTGACTTTAATCCCTTTCACTTTTATTTATTTCATCACGGATTAGTACATAGAGCATGCTTCATCATCACGGTCAATCGTCGATAGACTTAACAGCTACAATACACGTCTCTGTTCTGAAACAGATTCTTTAACTTTTGAGCCCTTTATTGTCTGAAAATCATAGGCTATACCATAAACCCATGTCGACTGTGTGTTCTCCAAACACACTGGGTGGTAAGCCTTTTGTATGTGGATCCGCAAGCACTTGCTTGTTACTTTTATGTTCAATACTTTCAGTATGATTCCAGACTTTCTCCTTCACAACATATAACTTTAACGTCAATGTGTTTGGCAGCACACTTGATCCGTTGTTATAGAAGCGAACTTCTTAAATGGTTATTGCTGTTGTATACCATTATCAATTCTGGGTGTAAGTTCTTTTAACCATTTCGCATGTCCTTAAGCCTCATAACAAGCTATATTGTGGGTATGCATCTTTGATGACACCACAACTGTTTCTTTGGAGTTTTTCCACAATAAAACTCCAACTACGAGTGTTAGCTACTATGTGGGTTTCACTAAACATCTCGCTAAAATTTAACATTTGTACCCACAACTATTTGAGAGTACTTATTCTTTCTTTCTCACCATGAGGCCTATAAATCTTTGTACAATTGCAAAATATTCTCAACTCCATTCCAGTGATCTATATCTGGACTGGACTTCTGCCAAAACATCCCGGATACATGAACTATGTCAGGATAAGTTCTTACTTATAAGCATTCATTAAGCTTCCAACAGCTAAAACATATAGGACGTCCTTTCGATCTCACATTGGTTCTTGGAACACTGAAAGTTCCCTATAAGAACAGGCGCAGGTTTATTCATATATATGCTTTATTTCTTTAGAATCTTCTCTAAATATACACTTGAGATAGTTCTAATACCCCTTTTTCTTTTGTCTCGGTAAGTTCCAATTCCTGGAACGAATGACGTTTTACCAAGATCATTCTCATTGAAACTTGAGGACAAGATCTGTTTCTTCTCCAACAGTAGATTAACACCACACTAGCGAGTAAGGTGCTACCCACATGCATATTAGGAAAATAAATTTCCCATATTTAAACTTTGCATAAATACAATTATCCTCTACATTCTCTTTAAAATCCAAACTTTCTTATTGTACTGTCAAACTTCAAGTACCAATGTCTTGAAGCTTGCTTTAATCCATAAATGGATTTCTTCAGGCAATATCCTTTACATTCTTTTCCTTCCATGACAAAACCTTTTGAGTTAAGCCATGTAAACTTTTCCATACAAATCCCTGTTGAGGAATGTGTCTTTATATCTTTCTGATGTAACTGTAAATCGTAATGTGCCACTAACACCGTTATGATTCTAAAAGAATCCTTGCATACTGATTATAATCTATTCCTTCTCTTTGTGTAAATAATTTCACCACAAGTGGCGCTTTATAGCTTTCTATATTCCCTTTGGAACCACATTTGTCTTGCAGACCCATTACAACCTACTGTTTTGGCTCCATTGGGAATTTCTTCTAAATCCCAAACATCGTTGGTATTTATCGATTTCATTTTATCTTCCTTTGCTTCTTGCCATTTAGACGAGTGAACACCTCTCATGGCTTTTCAAATGAGGTGTAATTACCCTCCATTTGAATTTCTTTCTTAACATTGACTCTTTAGTCACAAGAAATATCTGATTTTCTTATTCTTTAAGGCCTTCTGGGGCCTCATGGCACTTCTTTCATATGGGGCTATTGTTACTCTTCATTGCCAAAAGGCAATTGTTTTATAGCCTCCTGTATCACAAGATCCTTATTTACTTATTCATTTTTTTAAGAGCTAACATCTGGTGTTGTATATGTCATACAACATCAGCATGTATAAAGCAATTTGTTGCTCTAAAAACACTGTAGTGGATATGTAATCCCACTTCTATTTAAGCCTTAGGTATCTACATATCATGCTCCCCTAGATTACTCCATCTTCTGTAAAGATGGTGTATCTTCAAATTTCTTATTTTGGGTTTAATCTGCTAAAAAAACTCATACGGTGCGTTTAGCACCGCCTTGATAACTCTGAACTCGTCCAGTATGAATACTAGCCGACTATGCTATCTTTCTATCGGAACTATAAAAGGTCCAGTAATTTAGCTATTTCTTTACTTTAGAGGTATCGTTATTATGACCGTCTTACTCCCTCAACGATCACATTCATCTTTTATAGATCACTTTTACCTTCAATGCATAGTATGCATTGCATTATCTGAAGTATGGGGAAGTATCTTTCTTAATTGTCTTTCTTAATTAATCTTACACTTCTCCCCCTCGAAATGTGGTATGAACTTTTCTACCACAATTTCGAAACATTCAGAACTCTTGTGAATGAGGAAACTTTGATTACTTACTTCATCCACATGATTACATCATGCAAACAAAATTTGTATGGGAGTACATTTTCCTCATTACACTTCAAAACTCAACATAGTCTATTATTATCAATATTTCTGCAAGTCACGCTTGCATATCATTCTTATCTTTTGGTTCACATGCAACTTTCTTTTGTTCTTAAACTCATTGAGTATTTAATAACCATGACACAATCAGAGTGTATGGTCAATACTATGATAACATAAGAGCTACCCTAAACTTCTCTCCATGTGCGGGATACACTTAGAGCATATGAGTCATCACATCCTTCTCCCGCCATGCGGGATAAGTACTATGCCAAAACTCTCCTGCCATGCAGGATTGGTTAACATAAGTACTATTCCAACTTTACCCCGCTATGCGGGTATTTTCTCAAACTTTTTTCACCATGCGGGTACTATCACAAATTTTTCCCGCCATGCGAGATAATTCCCTTGAACGGACATAACTGCTAGGATTGGCTCGTGTTCAATCATCAAATTCAGAAATAAATCCGAATATTCTTTAACACACATGTTTAATCTGACGTAGGTCAAATAAAACATGCATGTTACTGATTACATTTCTTAAACAAACTCTTATTGCTCTATCTCCTTTCTTTGATCAATATCCTTTAATTCTTTCCTTTCCAAGCCATTCTTTAAAGAGAACACAGTCCCTTAAGCAATGGCATTCTTTTATACA